GTTGAGGAGTCTGATCGGGATTAAGGGCAAAAGCCATGGTGAAGCTTGCTTTGCAATGTATGCAGCTCAATCGTCCAGGAAACATATCCAGGCTTGGTCGAAAGGGGAACGAGCTGTGGGGTTATCAATTTGATGAACTGTGCGAAGATGGCTGGCAACAGCCTTGCGTCCAAGATGCTCAAAACACAGCGGACATTCATGCTCTTGAATGGGAATCGGAATTTCTGTTGTCGTGGCACGAAGTCGATGTGTGATGGTGTCTGCACCAATAGGTCAACCCTTCTTGGCAGGCGGAGGCATATCCACTGTCTGTGCATGAGCCATCTGTGATGGGTGTGCAAACCATTCAAACTCAAGAAACAGGCATGACAGGTAGGGCACTTGTGGAGGGCAGCTTGTGGTCTGTCCTCTGGTACATGGCCAGTGGCATTCAACTGTTCAGCTTCCCCTCCATCGATCTTGGCACGTTTCGTTGCCGGCTCAGGGTGCGGCTCGATGGGTAGGGTCTCTGGGCCTGAGGGCACGGTGGCGGACCAGGGTCGTGTGCGAAGTGGCATGACATGACCGGACATGGCTGCTAATTGGTACATGACCGCACAGGTGTGCTTCCATAGATCAAGGCTTTTGCATTGATACATAGGGCATTGGCCTTTGCCGGAGACCAAATTGGACAGACCACTCACAAAATCATATTGCTGCTTGGCAGGTCCAACAAGCTCAAGGTGGGAATCCGTGTAGTGCCGTATCATGGCTCTGGCATGTACTTGCAAATTACAAAAAGCACATTTCGCAGCCAATTCCGAACACAGGGCTTGGTCCAACATGAGGCCCATGAAGGAGCGGTGTCTGATGTGCATTCTGAGCTCGTCCCGGGCGACGATGGGCTGAACAGTGGCCTGGGCAACATCAAATGCATGGCAGGCTCGCTTATTGATATGGTCTTTAAGGGCATATAGCATGGTGAATTGATGTTTGCAGTGTCTATAGATAGATCTACCTTCAAACGAATCTCTCAGTGGTCGGAAGACATCTTCTGGAAGACATGGGACCTGGTGTTGTCGTCGAAGGTGATTCTTGAGCATCCCCGCCTGTACAATGTGCCTGTGACATTCAGGGTAGGCCAACGAGGCCTGAGGCAGTGGTGGCGTGGGTGGGACATATGCATTCATGTCACATGGCGGATATGCAGGGCTAAGCGTGCAGACATCCGGATGTGGCTCAGCGGGCTCCATCAAGTGCTGGGTTTTGAGTGCCAGAGCGGTGGTCAACTTGCAATGATGTGCTGCAATGTATGTCCATGGAGGTTGAACTTCCAGTCGATTGTAGAAGTCCGTGGTGTTTTCATGTGTGAGATGGATTGGTGAATGATTCATGCGTCTATAGTGAATATTAATCATGTTGACAATTCTTTTACAACATGAAAACGGCAGGTCCATTTCATGAATACCATAGAGGACAGTTAGCACAACACACTGCTAATACAATCGAAAACGGACATGTGCTGGAATGGATTGTGCCTGGAGCCACCGCTTCAGGATCGAGTAGCATTGTTGCGCGGCTTTGATACGACGAGCCGTGGTGTCTGTCTCCCATGCTCTATAACCTATGATCACACCAAGGTACACTGTTTTGGCCACCATCGGCAGTCGAAAAGGTGTGTCCGGGATCACAAGCTGGGGACCTTGTTTGGTCCGGCTGATCCAACGGCGTGTGAACTTAGAGACCCCCTTGCCAACCGCCCTGAAGAGAACAACACTCTTAGTGGTATTGATGTTGAATCCAAAGGAACGAAAGGTGTGCAAAATGTGGGCGAGGTCTCCGAGAGCACTCTGGCCGTCTGCCATGCTGTGCAATGTTCAGCGAAGGTGGACATCGTCTGCGTACCCAATCAGGTGGTCGTGCAGCCATGCATGGGAATACCTCTGGAGGAATTCTTGCATTATGAGACCCATACATAGGGTCCAGAGGATGGGTGCATCCATGGATCCCTGTTTAATCCCTCTCGAAGCGTCGATTGTCCCAATCAAGGATTTGAAGGGAATGTGATACTTATGGGGGGCCAATCAGGTCTATATCATATGAAGAACATCTGGTGGGAGATCTATCTGGTTCAAAGCATGGAGCACGAGGTCTCGGCGGACAGTGTCAAATGCCTTTTCCATGTCCAATGAGACCTGGAGGCCTCCGAACAGACCTTGAGGGTGTGCATCCATTTGTCGATCACGATAAAGCTGGCGAATTTGCTGGCAGTGCTGTGAGACTCGGAGGAGACACTCAATGATGCCTCTCTGCGGGTGGTTAAAATCTTGGATACAACTTTGAGAACCGGGTGCTGGAGACAAATGGGTCTCAGTGCCGCAGGCTGTGTGCTGGATTTACCTGGTTTAGGAATTAAGTGCAATTATCCGGCTAGCCAGTGACTAGGTGGTGCCACTTGCTCTGCACACCAGTAGTGTTCTATGGCTGCATAGATCGGACCCGCGAGCTCTGGTGCAAGGTGTCGCCAAATGATGGCGGGCATGCAGGGTGGAGCCAAGGCTTTCATAGCTGGTAAGTGGAGAAAGTCCTGCAACACATCTTCCTGGGTAAAAGGAAATATTTGGAGGGAAACATTACCAGGGTATTGAAAGGAAGTGTCCTGAAACAGCTGGCCAAAGAACTGTTCTATGCGTTGGAATTCAAATGATGGGGTGAATGGTTGTCCATGATCATCATACATCTGGATCTTCTGAGGATGTTTCTTTGGGCACAATTTGCGGACCTTGCGAAATCAATCGTACGTCTGATGATGCATGGCCAAGTCAGCACTTTCCTTAAGGAAGTCTTCAAGTTTCTGTCGTTTGTTCTGGCGGCTGAATCGGCGAACTTTCTTGTGGTACCTACGAAATAAAGCAAGGTGCTTCCAGGCCGTAAAACGAGAAGCGAGCAACCGATCAGTCAGTGCTCTCACGACTTTTCTGGCCTGCCACATGCGGGCAGTGATGGAAGCAAGCGGGTTGCATGCGATTGATATGGAGGTCTGTTTGGCAAACCAAGACTTGCACAGGTCGATCAATGTATTTTCAAGTTGAGGAAATAAGGATGGTTCATTGGCAATGATCGATTGCAAGTGTTGTCTGGTCTCCCAACAAAATCCCTGCCAGCGCTGGGTGTTCTGTTTCATGTCCTGTCGAATACGGTGACGGTCAAATAGGACGAGCGGTTTGGGTCGGGGTCCTGGGTACCATTTGGGAATGGTCTAAGTCAGCGGATGATGATGGGGGCCGAGGAGGCCAAAATTGAAAACGAAATCTGTGAGCAATTGGGGTGCAATTAAGGGCCAACTAATCTGCTGTTTTCGCATCAAAGCAAAATCAATCCGATTGAAGTGAGTGCCATGCTTAAAAGTCGGCCGAAACTGATCACGACAGTGAAGTGCAACTAGTTCGAACTGCTAGATCAAATTAGAAAACATCTGTTTATCTCTCTGTGCCCTTGTAGATACTTAGGATCGGCGGTGTACACTTTACAGAGCAGGTGAGGGAATGGAGTATCAAAATCACCACATCCTATGACCTAATTGTTATGAGGCAGGCATTCAAAACAATGTTGCAAGAGAATCCACACATGCTGCCGTTTCGAAAGGATCTAACGTATGCCATGTTGCATATACCAGGCCTGTTGGTAAACGATCACGAAATCATGTGGGCGGTGAAGGATCAATCGTTCCTAAAGTAAATGGCCATAAATATGGGGGACTATCGAAATGTAATCCTATCGAACAAGTACTAAAAACACCATGAAACAAAATGGATGCAAATCGATCTGTTAAGTACACTATGTGCCAATGCTTCGTGCTCCACTCATTGGTCATGGATCATCCGGATTCCTAGATAACGATAATATCATAGGGGTTATTATCATTCCATTGCAACCATAAATGGTATTCAATCGAGCGGGAAGTGTTCCATTAAAACATTCGAAGCTGTCCGGATCCAAGGGATAGGCGGTATTAGTGCAGATTTAATTACACAAGGTTAAGGAGTATTTGCAAATATATGTTATTTAATATAAAAAGAGATTTAATAAAAATAACTCTATTTTCCTGTAAATGTACCATATCCTTCCCTCAAGGTTCTAATATAAAAACGCTTTAATTGCATTTTGCAGGAGTATTTGAAAAGTTTCATTCAAAGTTACTCCCATCCATCCTAAGCCGGATAAATAATCCTCGCGTCGAATCCTCGAAATTCAAAATAGCTGCATAAAAATAACTAAACGAAAATTCAACTCAAATACAATCGAAATAAAACGCCGCCCCGCGAATCCCAAATCACGCACTACTCTTAATCTAAAATAATTCTTAAATTAAGATAGCGCTTATTTAAAAAACATATATATCCTTTTAAATATAAATTCGATATATAATTTTTTTCATTAATTATTAAAATAAATATTTCAAAATATATAAAATATAAAACATTTATAATATATAATTTATTCTAATATATATATTAACTACATAATATTCATTAATAAATATTATATAAAAAAAACATAATTCATTAATACAAATATATATATTATTTTTAATATCACATAATCTAAATATATCTTTAATTATATCGATATCAACATTTCCTACAATAATTATTATAATCAATTCAATATACGATATATATATATATATATATATCGAATTATTTCCATGATATGTCAATCGTTTATTTTCATACCATTGGGAGGAACATATTGTCATAGTCGATATGTGTGATTGTGTTTGTGAATATGTGTTTGTGATTATATATTTGTGGATGTATTTGTGGTTGTGTGTTTGTGAGGGTATTTGTGATCATGTTTGTGTGTTGTTTGAGGCCCGGTTGTGCCTCCTTCCTTCCTTCCTTCCTTCCTTCCTTCCTTCCTTCCTTCCTTCCTATTATTTGTAGCATGTAAATGCACGACAACAATCAAATAAATAAGGTATGTCAACGTCAAGGGATGTTATAGCCATAGCTAATTTTTTGAACATAGATTTGATTCACTAAGCAACGGCTCGATTCAATTCCAATGCCATGTCATTGGGAGAAGTAATGTCTCTCAAACGACGCGACAGTTTGCAGTACCGAATCAATAGAAGCACAAGAAGAACGGCAAGGACAATGGTCGATGCCATGAAGATCTTGGTGTTGAGGTCCATATGTGGTTTCCTGTGCCAAGAATCATCCAGGAATGCCTGCTTCTTTGTGTTTTGGTTGTTTCGTCGAGTCTACACAATCTTGAAAGCAAAACAATGTGACCGCTTTTGCGGTATTGAATCGAACAGAATCAGCGCTGTGTGTGTGTCTGTAGTGTTCTGTCCTGTCTGGCACTTGCTTCACTCTTGCGCCCTGTTCTGCTAGAAGTCGAAGCATATCTCCCAGCCGGTAGCCGCCCAGCACAATCTGCCGACGCGACATCTCCTGGAGAAAGCTTCCAAGGCCTCCTTCACTTTTAAGCTCCGAAGAGCTTGGCGATTACCCACTATCTAAGTGGGAGAAGGGATTGATGACTCAGGTATGGAAATGGGAAGTTGATATGTTTTTGTAGCAGTTTCCTACAGAAAGGCATTAGCAAATCTTTTGCTCGAGTTTCCTTGTGACAACCATGACCTTCCTATATCTCTCGATCTTTTTTTGCCCTGTCTGCTCTGTCCGTTCAAGTATATACATCGTGGATAACTGCAGATGTGACTCGAATTCAGCATAAGTTTTCCAAAAGCAAACCATGTCCAGTGCCTTGGCCCAGACAGCATAGTCGTCTGGAATCATGGAATTTCTGGTAATGCCACCGTAAGCACCTCTTGGGGCAGGACTTCACCACCACCTTTCTATGGGAGCCAGGAAACCAACTCACTAAAGGCTGGCAGCCTTCGCCTTGTAGGCCAAATGAACATGGTCATGTGAATGCAAGAGCTCATTGCCCTTATAATTTATCATTATTCATACCCTACCGTTCAAGCTTCAAGACGATCAAGAAGGCCTTTCAAACCTTTCAGCTAGGACCGGGCAGGATGATGGCCCTTTCAATCAATATTTTACTTGGTGGTCCGCCCAGGGACGCCTGGCACCCCAGTATCAAAAGTGTCATTGACCCAGCGCACGAAGACTTGCTGACCTGATCCAAGTGAAGAAATGGCCCGGAAAATATTCAAGGACTTACTCTCCCCAAATCAAACGCATCCCCCTAAAGTGGATTTTATTCTTTTTAGACCACATTATATAGTCGACAGATGCTGAAAGGGCACAACTGGTGTCTGTGAGGAGGATATGTTAGCAACAGTCTGCAGGGATAAGTATTGCACATCCTCCAACATGGACACGGCCATATTAGTTAAGCATGAAAAAAAGTTCCATGACCCATGCCCTGTGACACGGCAATGTTATTTTGTTTTTGGCACGTGCAAAGACCAACATAGCCCTCCAAAATTGGCATTGAGTCTTCCAGAATGGCAACATTCTTAGTGGCAAGGACTAACATAGCCCTCTAAAATGGTCACGTGGTTGACCAAAATTGCAAACTTTATGGTTGCCCCAGGCCAGGTTAGCAGTGTTTTGGGCCTTTTCTTGAAGCTACCGCAAAGCAGAAGTTACATGCAATTCCCCAGGAAACACCGGAGAGGTTTTGGATATGTTAGTTGGGGTCTTCAGTGCTGCCAGGGCTACGTTTGATTTGGGGAGTGTAGCACCTGAGGTCGAAGGACTTAGCACCCCAAGAGTATGGTCTTGATCCATTGCTTTGTTTACGTTTGCGCGCAATCTGCAAGGAGCTAGTGCTAGCAAGTACTTGGTTGCTTTGGGGCAGAACCAGCTGTAAGGTTCAGACAGCTTATTTTTTTGTAGTGAAGCAACCTGTTTGAGTGTCAGCTGCCCAAAGCTTGGATTAACTGAGCCCGTGACTGACAAAGCAGCATAAATTAAGAACATATCTTCACCTATCCTGAAAAATATCTTGGGACCAGCTACAACGACCTACTTGAATGCGGATAGCGTATGTTTCGTGCAAATATGTTCCAGCCTTCTTGGATAATTGGATAATTCCTTCCTGCCTAGCGGAGCCCTAGGATCTTCAGATGCCTTGAAGGGTTATATAATGCTTTCCAACTGAAGCTTGCCAGTGAAACTTCTAACTTATCTTGGAATCTCGTGTCCTGAATGCTGAATGCTTGTGATCTTTTTCAATTTGTCCAGGTTTAGGCTGCACGCTCATAAAACTGTATATATATATATATTATATATGTATGTATGTAACACACACATTATACAATTATTTAGATTGATTTGATCTGACTCTAGTTACCCTAGCTGCCCTAGCTGCAGGGTTGTTGGTAGAAGTTTGGGATATGTTTGTTTACAGCAGTGTGTTTCACAGTAGGTCAGTAGGCCAGAAAACATGTTTTGGAGCTATCATCCTTACTGTTGAACGGTTGAATTGTGCCCGGCTGGCGGTTACAAGTACTTGGCGTGATGGAACTGGTTGGCAGGGCCTATTCTTTTCGCATTGCTTGTATTGAAGGGTTGCCTTTCTAGTGCAGTGCAGTGGACGCAGTATTGCTGCATCCTACTACAGCTTCTACTTGCTTGAGTTGTGAAGAATCTTGCCCAGCATTACCAAGTACTTCTGAGAAGAAGCATTCATTCTCAAGGTTCAATATCATTGGCAAAAATGACCCAAACATACAATGCGCATGAACTACTTAAATACCAGCGCCACCAAAACCTGCTTCTTATGATGCGAACATGCCGTCTCTCTCTCTCTCTCTCTCTCTCTCCCTCCCTCTCGCCAGTCCAAATCATTCACCAGAAAATGTTGCTATGCATGCTTCGTTGCAAATATCAAAGACACCGGAGGGCTTCGATTTGTTCTGCCTGCAAACATCCAGAAGCGGTTGAAATCTATTGAAACCATAACCCTGAACCCTCCATCATTTCTTGTACAGTCAAATGTCCATGATGATGATGATGAAAGTATACGATGACGGACGACCACAGCGCTAACGCCCAAGGCATGACATCTATGATTGACCTATGTGGACACTATTTGCCAACAAACCTATTCCGTACAGCAAACGTTTGGAGCAAACCTATGCCTTCAAAGCCACATGTCCTCTTTTGCTCAGTGATGTCTTTATATTCACATCGTCGCCACTGTATCTTCTGTCAGATTCTCTATGTCATTCTACAGCTTCTTCCGACGAGCACACCTATATATACAGTGCTTTGTGCTCTTCCGGAACAGTACTGATTGATGGGCGAGTAACTTTTTCAATACCAGTGGGCCCATCGCCCAAGAATACTAGTAGCATGGGTTGGGTTGTAGCGCAGCTTCTTATTCCGTCCTCTTTGCATGTCACAACCTCAGGACTTATAGCTATAGTTCTTCAGACAAAGGTGACGCCTTGAAGTGTCCGCAAGAAAGCCTAAACATGGTTTTCACGCCAAACAATCCATAGTTAATGTAACCTCATCTTACCATGTCACTCAAACGGAAGAAATGAAACGGCTCAAAAACAGGAATACAGTACCAATACTACCAACGGTTATTTGCTTGCAGCCAAGCACCTGCAGCAAGCCGAAAAGAAAGCAGGACAATGCATATCAACAATATACAATATACTATAGTCTGACCGTGATAAGAATTGCGGCATTGCGAAGCATTTCTCCCCCAAGCGTTCACCCCACAACTGGCCGAGTCTCAACTGAGTCCAGCAGGCTTTCAGGTGTTCCGGGTCGTAGCGCGTCCCAAAGCTTGAAGGCCTCGGTGGGAATTGCCAAGTAACCCGCAGAGTTCTCCAAGACTTCTCCGCTGGAAGCAAGGACGGTACTAGGTGCTCCTGGCCTTACTACTAGGAATAAGGACACTACTAGGAGCAAAGGGCATCGCTACTAGGAGCAAGGACGCAACTAGGTGCACAACTTCCACAACTTGCGTTTATTGCATGCCGCATGTGGTGCTCAGTAGTTCCATTGGCTTTTCAGTTGGGGTAGAGGTCATGCAGTGAGGCAAGCAACTTCAAACTCATCTACTGTATTGTCTTGTCGTCTACTGTAGCCTCATCCAAGGCAAACTGCCCTGGTCTACGGCCATCAATGCTGCTGCAATCCACTTACCACGGCTTCTCAATCGTCTTGTGTCCCGGGCCTGCTTGGAATGTCGTGGCTAGATCTAGATCTGCCAAGCTCCCTGACATGAGCTGAATCATTTCCTCATATTTCGCATCCCGAGAAACGGATACTTCGTGATCAAATCGCTGGCATTCTGGGTCAGTGCTTCTCGATGATCCTCAGGTGTCAGTACAAGGAACATTCACCCAGTACTGCCCAACTCAAGCGATTTCTTGCGAAGCCAAACTCAACTTCAATATGTTTGAGAAGGCTTCAACACTCCAAAGCTTCACATTTTTTTGAGCCAAAGGATGGTTTACCTAAGTCACATCGGTCTCCGGCCTGGTAATGAGGCGACCAGTTCACCAGGTATTGGCAAGCAGCAGAGTCCCAGTAGAAATGCAAATTGTTGGCACCACAGTCGCTGATGACGGGGATCCTGCTTGGATTGGCTAAAGGAATCCGCTGTTCTTTGATTGATTTTTAGGCTTAAGTAGCTAGTAGCAAGGTCAAAGGAAGCTAGTAGTCACAAGGAAGCTACTCGGCTGGGACGCAAAAGAGCTCAGGTTTCCTTGAAGAACCTCATGCACCGATTTGGTTCCTAGGAACAAAGGGCATCGCTACTAGGAACAAGGACGCTACTAGGGGCTCCTGGCCGTACCACTAGGAGCATCCTTACTACTAGTAACAAAAAGCTTTTAGGGAAACTTGACTTTGGAGGTGTTCTACTTCTTCCACATACTGGTGCTTCATGGCTGTACTCCTGTCCACGACAGTCATGACACACAACTACGCTCTTCTTCTTCTTCTTCTTCTTTACAACTTGTGAGAATCTACTACTCCATCCAGGATCCTTCTTTGTTAATCTCAAGGGCTAAGCTTTTTGGACCTGTTTGGCGAGGAGACCTCAAGTGGATCCTGCAAAAAGCGAGACATTCAATGTCCATCACACATCTTCTTTACAAGTGCTACAATACAATATATGTCGAAAGCTCAAATTCGCAACAAACCTCTCGTTGTTGTACCTGGCTGTGTTCGTTGCGATGGTCGACCGTGTTTGTTGTCTTGTTTGTGGTGTGGTTGGTCTTGCGGCCCTGTGGCCATAGCCGTTGTCATAGCTGGCACTTTGTCTATGCCATGGCTAGCTGTACAAACAGCATGATTCCAGGAATTTGTCCGAAATCAGTGTTGCAACTCTTTTGTCCATCAAACCCGCCGGTCAGGTTGCCACCACGATCACCTTGCGGCAAATGACCCAAACGGGCGTCATCAAAGTAGCCATCAGCTGAATGCAAGGGCTGATGGATATCACCTGGAACCGGGTTGTGCACAGTGTGCTTCATTGTGTGACACATAACTGGAGAAGAAGAAAACGGAGAGGTTAAAGGGGGCCTTACATTCCTTTGTCCTTTTCTTTTTCTTTGTTTCTAATTGCGATGGCCTCCAACCTGTAGCGATGGCCTCCAACCTAGAAAGAAGTGGCCTTACCTTCCTTTTTCATATCTTTGTTTTCTTTTCCAGTTGTTCTATGTTATCCTGCTGTCCAGCGGCCCACCAGGTGGATGACCTCAGATTTGCACTGGCGTGCAGCGAACTGCATTGCCTGTGCAGTCTTCCTCTCCATGATGTCTTGGGACAGTGAATATATAAATACCCGGTTGAAATACCCATGGCTTTTGAACATGAATAGCCTGCAATTGGCTCAAGCAAACAGCTGTCACCCAAGCCCATATTATGTGAAACCCTGGAAGCTGGAAGGCTACCAGCAATGTCAAAGCGCCCATCGCAGCATGAAGTTGAAGGCGAAACGGGAGTTCGAAGTTCCTTGGCTAGCATCCTGCTGAGTGGGTGTGAATGCCCATCAAATTCACGCCTTGATTCACAGACCCAAACAATGAGCCAATCAGCATCTCAACTTTGGAACTGCACGTCAGTGAGGAGCGAAGTGCATTGCAATACTGCAAGTGGAATGCGGGCCAATCTTCAACAGTATTCTGCTGCCAGGCCTCCCATGGAAGTGATCGCCGAAGTTAGAGTGAAGGAAGCAGATGGATTGGGCAGCCATTGATCAGCGCAATGCGGAAGGGTCAAATTCTGTGGATTGTAGGGCTTCTCCTCTGCTCGGCAGGCTTAGGACCCGGAAAGTTTCAAATGAAGCACAATGAAGCATTACAGTATTACAGTAACATAAAAGGACAAAGGACATGTGTCAAAGACCGGACACTTTTTAAATTAGCAGGTTGTCAAGGTGTTCACCGCTGCAGGTATGCATACCTGGAAAGTGACAAGTTGTGACAAGTGCTTTAATACCGTTTCGCAGTGAACACGAAGGATTGACATGTGAATCATCATCACAAGCATGCTCTGAAGCTTCAATTCCAACATGTGCACTTACTTGAAGCCAAATATATTTGTTGTGTATGCCTGCCTGTACATACAGTTGATTATTGTGGTTATGCAAAGCTTTGCCAGTTCCACAAACTCGCACTGACGACAACCAAAATTTGCTGCCAGGTCTCATCAAAATGCCAGGGATCAAAAATGTGTATGTTCTCCATCACAGCCTCAAACCGCAACTCTGACTATGCCACGCGGTGACAAACATTTTGAGACATTAGGAAGAATGCGAGTGTTAAGTTCCCCGTGAAGATCATGGCAGCTACATGGCGGACACTTTAACCCTTGCAACCGACTAAGGTCCTGAAACTCTGAAACATGGTGTGTCAGTGCAGCAAAAAGATTGGTTAGTGAAAACAGTCCTACTTGGTCCTACTGAGTACATAATAAACAGTGTTGTTTGTGCGCCGCACAACCGGTGGATCTAGCATGTGCACTGAGTTTCCCGTGTGCTCGCCTCAAGATCAGGGCGGGCGCGCGCTTTACGATCGAGCAATGGCGGACTGAAAGGACGCGTGGCCGCGTCGACCGAACTCACGATCGAGGACCTCGTGAACCTCGAACCCGGTGACAGAAGCTTCGTTACCAACATTGGTAGCGGAGCGCTACCAGGGCGCTCCAAGAAGAAGAGACGATGCCAGGACCTTCAGCCTCCGGTCCCTCTACTACCTCCTCAGCTTCAGGTGGGTCCATCGAGACGATGAAGGACACCTACATCCCGGTTTTCAACAACCGAGTGGCTGACTACAAGGAGTGGAGGCAGCGCATCGTCCTCTACAAGAAGAAACTGGCCCTTCAAGGAAAAGAGAAGGAGTCGATCTTGAACCTTCTCACAAGCCTCCAAGGCACAGCATGGAAGCAGGTCGAACACCTCGTCGAGAAAGTGGCCGAGGCCTCCGACGGCTTTGAGCAGGCGCTGAAAGCATTGGATGCTGCCTTTCAGTACGATGATCGGGTAGAAATGCCCAGAGCTCTCGAGAAGTTTTTCTATCAACTGACGAGGAGGAGCGACCAAACACTCCTATCTTACTGCTCAGACCACAGAGAGCAGCTTCGAGAAATCGAACGCCACAACATCCACATCCCAGACAGTGTCAGTGGCTGGATGCTTCTTCGACGGAGCAACTTGACGCAAGAACAGAAGCACTTAATCCAGTCGCAGGTTGGCCCCGAGATGAAGATGGCGAAGGTGGAAGAGGTCATGTACTACCTGCTGGGACAAGACTTCAAGTCAAGGTCAGAGCAGCCAAAGATCTGGAACAAGCATGTCAAGGATGACGACGATCTCGAGGAGACCTACGTTCAGGCCGACGAGGAGCTCTATGAAGAGGATGCCACCTATGAGGACTAGGAGGATGACGGTGCCTTTGGTGGCCAGGATGAGGAGCTCTACTACACGGAAGAGCCCTGGCCAGAGGAGTCGGACCCGGCTCTTGAAGAAGCCTACGCAGCCTACCTTGATGCTCGTCGGCAATTTGCCAATCTCCGTGCTGCAAGAGGTTTCTACCCAGTGGTGGCACTGTCGAACCCGTCTGACATGCCTGGATCATCTTCGTCCTCAATGACTACTTCCCATAGGCCAGTGACCAAAGGTTCAAAAGGGAAGAAAGGAAAAGGAAAGGGGAAGCCACCACCCCAAAAGGGAACTGCTTTGAACAGAGGACGAACTGCCCTAGACTCCATGCAGTGTTTCAAGTGCGGACGTTTCGGGCATGCAGCAGCTGAGTGTCCAATGAACAAGACCTCGCAATCTCAAGCGGGCCAATTGACCGAGACCACCGCCAAGACCTCAGGACAAGCCTTCATGATGCATGACCTCAGCCGAAAAGGGACCCCGCAACTCTCTGAGCAAGGCTGGTTTGGTTTGCAGGATGGTGGAGCCAGCAGCATGGTGTGCGGGCATGAGACTCTCATGAACATCATCGAGCACGTGAACCAGCGTGGTGTGCCCTTGGAGAGATATACCTTCCATCCAACCACGAAGATGTTTGGCTTTGGGGGTGATGCCATGAGGAAGGCAGAGTGGACCGTAAAGCTTCCGGTCTACGTGGATGGTCAGTCAGGCATGATCGAGTGCTTCCTGGTGGGCGGCGCTACGCCTTTGCTTGTTGGACGACCCATCCTCAAGTCATTGAAGGTGAAGGTGGACTGGGACAAGGATCTCATCTCCTACGGCGACCAGGCTTGGAAGCCGGCCATCAAGGGCGACCGTGGTGAGTACCTCCTCAGGTTGGACGAGGGAGTGCAAGGTGACCCACAACGGACAGGAACGATGCATTCCTCCACCTACACGCTCCTTCAGTACCTTGAGGCCACTGGGCGAGATCCACCGGAGCACTACCTTCAGGTTGATGGAGACCCCTACCAGGATAACCTCACGGATGATGATGAACCTGTGATGAATCAACAACCTCAAGGACAAAACGATGAACAGGTGGCTGAAGTGCGAAAAGAGATCACCGACAAACTCCTCCGAGGCGTTCGCTTTCATCGCGCAACAATGTTTGCCCATCGTCGATCAGTGTTGGAGCAAGGACTACGTGCCCATGAAGAAGGAGCCAAGGTGTTTTGGGAAGTTTACTCAGGTGAAGCCAGTTTATCCTTGGAGATGCAGAGAAGAGGCTATCTGGTGTATAGCTTTGGAAGATGTGGCACCAGACTTTGTGTGGTTGGCTCCAGCGTGCAAGAAGTGGTCCAAGATGCAAGCTCTCAACGCCTTGACCCCAGAGCAGGAGTTCGCCTTGAGATGTGAACAGGACTATGAGGAAGCAGTCCATTTGAAATTGGCAGAACGCACCTTCGTGATCCAATACAATGAAGGAAGAGATGGAGCCATTGAGCACCCAGCACGATCCAAAGTGTGGTCAACGAAGACGTGGTCTAACCTTCCTGGCTGGCCATGTCGATTGGATCAGTGTGCCTACGGGACCAAAATCGCCGACCAGTATGTGAAGAAGCCCACAAGGTTGCAGCTCAAGTGCTTCCATGGCAGACTACCTGGCTTGGAGATGTCCCGGAGATCATGAACACCTACCTCTAGAAGGGTCCTTGCCGGGAATTGGTTCATTGACCAAAGCTGCCGGAGCCTACCAGACGACCTTCTGCTACGACATTGGTGCGGCAATCGACTGCCTCTTCTATGAGCCTGAGGAATTTGCCCTGGAGGGTGGAGAATGGGAAATTGAAGACATGGGAGAGTACACTCCTTCCGTGGCAGGAACCGAACAACGAGAACCAGATGAGCCCAATCACGAACCTGCACCTCCAGTAGACTCCGATGTCAGAGTGCAAAGCTACAAGGCTACTGGAGTACTTCAACGACTACAACGACAAGACCGCCAGCTAGCCAAGCGAACAGTGAGTCGACTCCACAGGAATCTTGGACATCCGACCAATGCAGAGCTCAAGCGACTCTTGGAGATGACAGGGGCCTCCAGCGTTCTTGTCGAATGTGTCCAAGAACATGACTGTGATGTGTGTCGTCAGCAGCAACATCGACCACAAGTACCAGTCTCCTCAGTGCCAAGTGTTCAAGAGTTCAACGCCAGGGTCCAAGCTGACACCCTTTGGATCAAGATTCCAAACATGAAGAAAGCTCTTCCCATCCTGATGATCAGCGACACAGCAACGCGTTTCTTGGCTGGACGAGTGATTTGGAAGGAATCACCAGAGGATGCCAAACCTCAAGACTCACAGAACAACAATGAAGAAAATGAAGCACCAACAGATGATCCGGCAGCACCGAGCAATGAAGCAGCACCACAAGAAATGCCTCCAGCACCTGTGCCGGAACATCAAAAGAGGCTTTATGAACCCACTGTCAATGAGAGCTTCAGAAACCTTCAGAAACCAGAGAAGCAGAGTGGACAAACAAGAGACACTGTCCTTTCTGAAGAAGCCAACGGTGTATGGACCCATGAAGTCAGAGACTGCCCGGTCAACGCCTTACGATCAGGTGGCCACAGAGGACATGAACATGCAGATTGAGGTGGATGTTCAAAAGATTGATGACCTACCACCAGGTTGGCACCTTGAAAATGGATGGCTCTGCTTAGATAGCCCCGAAGACGAGTGGGTCCTGGAAGGGAACTGGCTCATCAGGAACCACTATGTTCCAAGAAAGGAGGCCGATCGCCCATCGGACGAGGAATGCCCCATTGACCTCAATTACCTGGTCAAGGAGCGAGTGTCGAGCACGTCACACGGCACCTTCAAGGACCGATGGAAGAGGCACAGCCGAAACCCACTCATCGAGGAGGCCTACTGGACGGGACAAACTAAGTTCAAGATCAAGCACAACTGGCGGGAACAGGCACAACAAGACTACAAGAAAGCCAGCAACGGGTACAAGATCCTGAGAACACCTTCAGACAAGATTGCCAAGAAGAAGAAGGGCAAGGACGAGGTGTTCGAGAGGTACATGAGTGTGGCAGACCGCCAGGCCTTCATCCAGGCGAAGATCAAAGAGCTGGAGAGTTTCTTCAAGAATGAAGTATGGCTCTATGATGAGGAGAAGAACGCAGACCCAGAGCGAATCCTCAAGGCCCACTTCATTTTGACTTGGAAGAAGAATGAGGATGGCACTCCAAGAGCAAAGGCAAGACTCATCACACAGGGCTTCAAAGACCCAGATGCACTTTCCGGAGCTTTGTCCACAAATGCCCCAACATTGACCAGACTGGCAAGAGGCCTGGTACTATGCATTTGCCAACTTTACAAATGGCACATGTTCACCTCGGACATCACGACAGCCTTCTTGCAGGGCAAGAACTTTGACAAGGACTCCAATCGAGTGATCTGGATCAGATTGCCACGTGACGCCAAACAGCTTCTTGGCATGTCACCTGAGGAACCAACTTTGATGAGATTGGTGAAGCCAATGTATGGACTATGTGATGCTCCCCGTGCATGGTACGAAGACGCAACAGAACGCATTCTTCGAGTTGGCGCAGGCAACATCCAGAGACACCCACTGGACCCATGCCTCTTCATGGTCTATCGACCTTTGGACCCAGATCAAGTGATGGATCCAACGGTGGAGCGAGAGTTGGCCTGCATCTTTGGCATTCATGTTGATGATCTTGTTAGTTGCGGTGATCTGCAAGATCCCTACTTCCTTGAGGTCAAAGAGAAGCTCAAGAATGTCTTCACGTTCCGTGAGTGGCAAGAGGGCAACAACCTTGAGTACTGTGGAAGCCAAATCAAGAGTCTGGAATTTCCCAACTGGCTGGCGAGACTTCAAAGGCAACAGTGGCGACACTTCAGAAAGGCAATAAGCACTTGCGCTATGCCAAGGAGTATGCCGACGTGGGACTCCAGTACAGATGTCTTGGAGCCAAAGAAGACATGACCTTCATCGCCTACAGTGATGCTTCCTTTGCAACAAGATCAGACTTGAGCAGCCAAGGTGGATACCTCCTGGCTATGTGCCACAAGGACGTCGCCAACGGCAAGTGTGAAGGGCATTACAATGTGATCGATTGGAGAAGCTGGAAATTACCACGTGTGTCAAGAAGCACGCTCTCAGCAGAGTCTCAGGCAGCAAGCGAAGCCGCAGATAGTCTCATGTACACCTCCTTGTTCTGGAACCTCATCTTCAAGGCATTGATGCCACTGGATTCCGTGAGCACTGGACACCTGCAGAACAGTCCTAAGCTCATTGTGGATGCCAAGGCCTTATATGATGTCCTGGTGAAAGATGAGATCCAAGCAGCAACAGGGGCAGACAAGAGAACCACCATTGAGGCTCTTGTGTGTCGAGACAAGCTTTCATGCTGCAATGGAAAAGTCATGTGGGTATCCTCAGAGCTCCAGTACGCTGATGGTCTCACCAAGGATTCAGCAGCTGCTCTTCTTGGACAACGACTCCGATCTCATATGACAAGGCTGAAGAGTGACGAGACCGTCCAGGCTTCCAAACGGAAGAATGTGACCAACAGGAAGAAAGGTGAGAACATGTATGCCATCAGACGACCTGAGAGAGCATTGTTTGCAATGTTTGCGAACTACTTCCTGGACACCGTGAACGCTCTTGAAGAGAAAGATGGTAACTCCACGGGCACTATGAGTCACTATAAGGTGGAAGAACATGACCTGACTGACTACTTCGTGATGATCTTGATGATCATGTTCATCGGCGTGTTCACATGGCTCTTTTGGAGGTGGATGCAGGGTCCGAAGATTGTGATCCTTGAGAAGAAGTTCAAAGAGAATGATGCCCAGACAACTCGAACCGGACTTGAAGAACAAAGACTGGTAGAACTGCGCAAGGAGAACATCACCATCACCAAGCAGAACCAGAGATTGAAAGAAGAGTTGGCAGTGTCGGAACAGGCCCGACAAGATGCACAAAGAGAACTACGTGTGCTGGCAGAGGAGCACCACAGCATGAAGGAAACACAACAAGCGGACTTCAACCAGAAGTTCAAAGTGGCAGGACAACAGGCTTCATTCAAGCCAGTCTACCTAGCAAGCCAAGGAGGCTGCTGGCATGCATCGAGGGCTTGTGTTGCTCAGCGGACCGCGAATCTGGTCTACGAACGACAGCCGTGCAAGGCATGTGCCCATTTGTTCTTTGACAAATGCACCCCGACGGCATCGGGCGAGGGTGTTCACTGGGTTGGTGGAACCCATGGCACGTTGTTCGGAGTAGCCACCTCAAGTGAAGACTGGTGAGAAGTGAGAGGCCGAGAATTTAAATTTTCCTTTTCGAAATGATCTTCACCGATGTTGTTTGTGCGCCGCACAACCGGTGGATCTAGCATGTGCACTGAGTTTCCCGTGTGCTTGCCTCAAGATCAGGGCGGGCGCGCGCTTTACGATCGAGCAATGGCGGACTGAAAGGACGCGTGGCCGCGTCGACCGAACTCACGATCGAGGACCTCGTGAACCTCGAACCCGGTGACAGAAGCTTCGTTACCAACAAACAGTATATACAGTAAGTTGACAGTGGACAGTATCCTCTCCACAGCTGGGCCCCCGAGCTCGAGGGCATACAGCGCCATGGTTGGCACACTTTAGCTGGTCGGGCCACACGGCAGCAGTTACCAAATCGCATAGGCCAGGAAAATCATCTGACCACTCCTGGCGCAGAAATGAAAGACTACTGTAGCACCCTGCTAATCTCTGTTTGCATACAAGTGTGCCGCTGCAAAGGTTTTCACAAAACAACTGTGAAGCCTTATATTTTGCAGTTCTCATCCCTTCCACTACCAGATTTGAAGACTACAAAGACATCATAAGATTGACCGAACCCGTGGTTTCCTTAGCAGCAAACACAATACGTACGCGGCGACAACATTACACAAGTGTGCTTCAACTCAAAGGCCCTCATTGCAACCGAAACTGGTTGCGACCAGCTAGACACTGCTATTTACGCAGATTCATTCAATCCGAATTGGTCGAATGCGGTCATTTGTGTCGCTTGTCAGAATCTTCTGTTGGGAAAGCTGATGACTGGCTTTGTTATCGGGTGCAAGCGGGTGCTCAGAAAGATGCAGGAGTACTGAGTATTCTTGCTGGATGATGCCTGCATATTTAAAAAAAACAAGATGGAGCCCACGAACCCGAATGCAAACACGATCGAAAAGCTACATATGTCCAAATGACACTCTTGTAGGACACTCTTGTGGGACACTCTTCTGGGACACTCTTGTAGGATACTCTTGTGGGTCACTCTTGTAGGACACTCTTGTGGAACACTCTTACAGGACACTCTTGTGGGACACTCCTGAAAGGCACTCTTGTAGGACACTCTTGTGGGACACTCTTGTAGGACACTCTCGTGGGACACTCTTGTAGGACACTCTTGTCGGGCACTCTTATGGGACACTCTCTTGTGAGACACTCTTGTAGGACACTCTTGTGGGTCACTCTTACACGACACTCTTGTAGGACACTCTTGTGGGTCACTCTTACACGACACTCTTGTAGGACACTCCTTGTGGGACACTCTTACAGGACACTCTTGTGGGTCACTCTTATGGGACACTCTTGTCGGACATTCTTGTGGGACACTCTTGTGAGACACTCTTGCAGGACACTCTTGTGGGGCACTCTTGTGGGACACTCTTGTAGGACATTCTTGTAGGACACTCTTGTGGGACAATTTTGTGGGACACTCTTGTGGGACACTCTGGTGTGACACTCTTGTAGGAAACTCTTGTGGGACACTCTTGTGGGACACTCTTGTGGGACACTCTTGTAGGAAACTCTTGTGGGACACTCTTGTAGGACACTCTTGTGGGACACTCTTATAGGTCTTGTGGGACACTCTTGTGGGACACTCTTGTGGGACACTCTTGTCGGACACACTTGTAGGACACTCTTGTGGGACGCTCTTGTGGGACACTCTTGTGGGACACTCTTGTGGGACACTCTTGTGGGACACTCTTGTGGGACATTCTTGTGGGACACTCTTGTGGGACACTCTTGTAGGAAACTCTTATGGGACACTCTTGTAGGACACTCTTGTGGGACACTCTTATAGGACACTCTTGTGGGACACTCTTCTGGGACACTCTTGTAGGACCACTCTTGTGGGACACTCTTGTGGCTGTGGGACACTCTTGTAGGACACTCTTGTGGGACACTCTTGTGGCACACTAGAAGCAATCCTGCGAGCGTTTCGTACGAGACGTCCTCCAAAAGTCACGCTTCGAGGCTGCACAAGACGAGCGTTTCGTTCGAGACTTTCTCCAAAAGTCACGCGTCAAGTCTCCAAAACGAGCGCTTCGTACGAGACTTCCTCCAAAAGTCACACGTCAAGTCTCCAAAACGAGCGTTTCGTACGAGACTTCCTCCAAAAGTCACGTGTCAAGTCTCCAAAACGAGCGTTTCGTACGAGACTTCCTCCAAAACTCACATGTCAAAGTCTGCAAAACGAGGATTTCGTACGAGACTCCTCCAAAAGTCAAGCGGAAACACCCATCGGAGCACACACATCACGCAGCCCTGCCAAGCAGTTTCGCGAGTCCAGCCCCTCCAAACAATACCCCCTCACACGCCAATCCCAATGTGACAGCGACATTCACCTCTACCACAACTCACGACCTAACAATTCCCTGCGCCTGCCATGAATCTTTCCGCATCCACACGTCTAACGCGCACAAAGTACTGCGCCTGCCACGAATTGTCACCTCCGTCACACCTCGCAACCTCACGATTTCCTGCGCCTGCCACGAAAATCGCACTTCCACACCTCAAAATCAGCACAAAGTACTGTGCCTGCCACGAAAAGTGAGAAGATCATCTCACGTGAGCTTCAACAAAATTTGCACCACACCACACGTTTAGAATGATTTCGACCCGTTCTGAGCACACTCCCATCCACCAAAATCGCCATTTCAGCTCAGACTTGTAACGAAAACAGAGCTTCGATGCCACACCCTGAAACGCAAATCCCAATGGCACGGCCACATCCAACACCCCAAAAACACGACTCTCCAAACGCTAATCCCAATGGAACTGCGCAGTAAACTGCGGATCTCTCAAACCACTGCGCCTGTGCAGCGAAATGCATCACGCTTCTGGCGCGACATGTCATTTTCATGCAAATCACAATGGAATAGCGTCGCAAACTGACACGTGACACATCCATGAAAAGTCACTTGCAAAAGCTTCCCCCAATGGCAGCGCCTTAGCGTCCTACTGCGAACGGTTGCGAACGGTTGCGAACGGTTGCGAACGGTTGCGAACGGTTGCGAACGGTTGCGGACGGTTGCGGACGGTTGCGGACGGTTGCGGACGGTTG